CTGATTCACACTTGACTTTTTCAAACTAATCTGAGTTTCTAATACAGAACTTTGAATAATCCATGAATCTCTATTTTTATGAGTCATTAACTGAATCATTAACTGTGTGGCTTGACAGAGATGTGAGTTTATTTCATTCTCTGGACCTTAGACTGGACAAACGTTAAATGATCTCAAATAAATATCTACCCAAAAGATTACAGTGATAGTAAGGAGGCCTGGGAGCCACTGACCGAAGAGGCTTTTTCAAAAATATGAGTGGGATTATTCAAAAAAGCTTGTCAGAAATTGTAAAAAGTTTACATTGCTATATTAACGATAAACATTTTTCTACTATCTATTGACAAGTTAATGGACATATTAAAAAAAAAAAATGCTATTTTTGAAATACAATTTTTACTTCTTTAAAATTGTTTTATCTTTTGAGAGGTGTGTGGTTCACTTCACATGAGAAGCAAACTTCATGATTGAATGATAACATGTTCTTAGTCCACATGTGCCACTAGTGTGCTCAAAGAGGTCATTTATACAGGACAGGTTGTTTCACTTGCTAAAATGGCACTGCTGATTTTTCCAGTGATATTATCTTTCAGTCTTTAAAGTGAACATTTGGCCACCAAACATTTGTTTGTGACTCAGTGTTTTGCTCATAGACACCTCCGGAGAAATGAGTCAAAGCTTCAAACTACATTTACTTCAAACAGGCCTGCTTGTGAGAATGAAGTGCATCCAATTAGAAGCAGAAGTTAAAAAGAAATACTCCAATAGCTCCAACACTTCATTTTCTTTTCCGCAAAGCTTATTTGTAAGTTGTGCTTTTTTGTGGGACAGCGCTGTGGTAAAAGCTTCATTATTCTTCTCCATCACTGTGTTCCTACTGGAGCGTGCAGTGTGTGGCTGGGTGTTAAGTGCTTTCTAAACTGAAGGCTCTCCTGGGATCTACGCACTGCTGACTCACAGCCAGGTGCTCCCTTTCACACTTCACTCAGAGGAGAGTGGCAGATGGTCGTCTTGAATGAGAAGCGCACCTACACACATTCCTGTGCGCGCACGTTTAGCCACTCAAACACACGCTGAGCTGTCCAGATATTCCATTGTAGTCCAACTAGCTCTTATCCAGTTTCCCCTTTTACTTTCCCTGCTTATCTTTAAATCTGCTATTGCTTCAAGTTTTACTTTATGGCTGCACATAGTTAACCACAGACAAAATGGATGACTTCACATACTTGAATGCAGCCCTGCTGTACATAGATTTTCAAAAACCAACCCTCTTCTAAATCAAATATACTAACAATATGTGCTGTAATTTTGAAGGGATCATGTGGTTAGATATTTTGGGACATCAAGAGTGGCTCTGACCCTGAGAGAAAATGTTAAAGATAAATGTCTCCACTCAGCTAAATGGTGCTAGATCGAGGTCTTGATAAAATTAAATTACTTATCAATATTGTTTTAAAATCATTTCACTCTAAAACAGGAGGAATCTGGATGGTATTCTAAATCGTTTAATTCCAGAAACATTTGGATGATTCATTCCTTTGATTGATTTAATTAATATATGCCGCATTGATTGCAATTAAATACGTCTGAATAAATAAGCCACTTTTAACTGTCATTTCTGGTTGTTATTTACATATTCATAAAGCTGAACTGAAAGTGTCTTCATCATGTATTTTTACCTTACAGAAATGATTAATAATAATGTTTGTGACATTTCGCTCTTCTTTTCAAAGCCTGCAACTATTTTTAATTTTTTTCTTTTGTTTCTATGCCTTTGTTGCAAATTCCACCGGCTTTCAGCAAATGGTACATTTTTCACATTAGCCATCCCTATGCACTTTGCACTGGTCTTTGAGAATTGGATTCATTTTGAACTTACTGTGTCTTGCATACATTTGCATAAATACGTATATGTTCTGCCTCTAAATGGATCAATAACACCTCATTTAAACTTAGAAAACCTTCATCACCATGTAAAGATACTGTTTACTTTGACAGCGTAATTTGTGACGCAATGGGATAACTTTGTAATAATAGACAAAATTGCAAGATTTTGTGTGCGTGTGTGTGTGTGTGTGAAAAACAGCCGATTTTCTACTGTGAATCAGCTTGTTAGTGTACCTTGAGAAATTTCAGCTTTAAGCTGCACCAAGAATTTAGTGTCTGCTGATACCCTCACCTTGGGCGCCACAAAGCTGCACATTTGCAAATGTAACTGAGGTTCAACTGCGCTATTAGTTCAAGTTCAAATCAAACAAGATTTATAAGACCAAAAATTTATTTAATCTTGATAATGTGGTTCCTTTAAAATGCTGCTACCTAATGAGGCACATAATCTATTCACAATGAAATCAAAAGTGGCTGAAATGACAAAAAACATATTTAGCAAATTAGAAAAAACAATATAGTTCCATCTCTCTAATAGGACTTTGAAAAAGAAAAACATTAGTATCTACCAGAGCTGTAAAGAAAACCAGAAAATGAACAAGCGATGCAGCTGTATGTCTTCTAACACATGACAAAAGCCTGAGTTATCTGTGCAGTGTGACATAACATCGAACAGTGAAGCTGACGTAGCAAATAAGAACCCATATGGTTTGAGAAAGATTATGATGGGATTGCTGCACAATGGTTAGCGAACAAGGACACTGCAGTGGACCGAGTGGCAGGAATATTAGTTTTAGAAATAAATCAGACAAAGAGCAAAGAGAAATAGGTGCGATATGGAGCAAGAGAGCCTGGCAGCTTTTCAACGTTACTGCTGCATATGTATGTGTGTTGAGAGTGGAGGGGAGATGTGCAGGCCATTTTTCTGCGGTGGCTAAATATAGATCACTCTCTCTTTACCTTCTCCTAATGTAGAGTAGACAGTTAACCTTTTCTTTTTAAAGGTTAGTCATACTTTATCCAATGCACAGTAAAAGATTACTGCAGTCTTGGTTTGGCATGATGTCATAATCGGGGTCTGGTAAAAGTATTCACACTGCTTTAACTTTTGTCGTGTTATAACAACAAAACTCAATTCATTTCAGTGGGATTTTATGGGATTTTACAAAAACAAATGTAGCATGAAAATGCAAAGTCGAAGAAAATTTTGATCTTCTCTTCTTTTTTTTTTTCCAAAGAAATATCTGAAACGTTTTTGTGGTGTGGTGTGCATCTTAATTTATTTTACTCCAACACCATCGAATAAAATCCAGACCAACTGCCTTCAAAAGTCAAAGAGTTTATTCAAACAAAGTGTTAATTTCAGTCCAGTCGATTAAAAAAACTTTATTTATCCTTAAGAAGGCAATTAAAATATAGAATGTTCAAAATATATCACTTTTTGAAAATTCAAGCATTATCTATGATACAATTTTGGGTTTCCAGGCTTAATTTCCTGCATAGATTGCAGTCAAATTAACTCCTCCTTCACTACATAAAATATATGTTTTATTGTTCATGCTTGATATCATATTACACAGGTTTTGAGCTTCTCAACAAGTATTTACATTTGATCTGCCATTACTTGACTTCACTGTACCTTTGCTTTCCTAAATATCAGTAAACCACTTTGATATTTAGTTTTGCACTGTGAAGGTCTTGTGTGAGGCAGCCCACAGCAATCAGCAATGAGGAAGTCAAGTTGCCTGAATCTGTCCATGACTCACATATGCTACATTTTTCATGAGTCCACATTGAGTGCTATTGATATTTATCAGTGAAATCTTGAAAATCCTTTACGAAAAGCGTCACGATAATTGCTAAAATATTGTCCACTGTATTTTTCACTGGACTTCTCTTCTAATGAAATTAAAGAAAGTCTTTGTTTATACAGTTTGAATATTCATTTGTATTAGTATGTGAGCATCTTAATGTGTGCCACAATCTACATGACTAATGTATATGGGTAGGTGAATGTGCCTCAGTGTATTTTAATGCCTCGACAGTTGAGCCATTGTCTCCCACTCGCTCGTTGGGAGCAGATGACTAATCCCAGTGTCTGTCCTCGCAATAGGAATTTGAAAACACAGAGGGAGAAGAGTACCAGGCAGACCTCGCCGCTCTGGCTTCGCCTTCCTCCCAGAACGGGCCCGAGGTTTACATCCTTCCCCTCACTGAGGTCTCCCTGCCTGTCTCCAAGCAGCCAGGCAGATCAAGTAAGAAACTACACTGTCACGACATTTTTTTTTTCCCTAAATGTGATTACCACATATTAGTTAAGCCTTTTTGACATTAATTACTAATGGAGGAGGTCATTTCCTCTCAACAGAACATCGTTGTACATACAGTTGAAACTCAACATTTATATTCAGTGCATAAATATAAAAGTACAATACATTTTCTGCTTCAAGTCAGTTAGTATCACTGACTTTATTTAAATTTGCCACATGCCAGAATGATGAGAGAAATACAATTTTTCAGAAAATATATATACATATTTAATAGATCCAAGATTTTGATTCAAACTCAGTACCAACTTGCTGAAAAGCAAGCCCAGAACCCTAAGCATACAGACAGATGAGTTACAAAGTGTCTTAGGAAAAAGCAGGTCAGTGTTTTGGAGTGGCTATGCAAAAGCCTGATCTCAGTTCAATAGAAAATGTGAAGGCAGAGGTGGAAACACTGAATGAGTAAGGCTGTAATGCACTTTACAACCTTACTCAGTCACATCAGTGCTGACAGGAAAAATAGGCCAAAGTTCAAGTGCACTATTGTTCAAAGTTTGTGGAAGGATACACATAGTATTTGTCTCAAGTCAAACTGTTGAAAAAGCCATTCTACCATTGTAGACCAATCTTTAATGTTAGAACGTGAACTTTGAATTTTTCATTGTATTTTCCCATATGTAATTATTTTTGTTAGAAATGTGCAGCAGAATAAATTATCAATAAATGCAATCATCTGCTGGTGTAAATGACTCTACTTCATCTTTTTTGTGTAATGTAATGACATAGTTTTATCTGGGTTTTTTTCTCATTTCATCTGTTTATATTTCGTCAGGTCATCCTGTCTCAAGTTAAAATGTGCATGTTCATTTCTGTGTCAGCATGTGGCACATCCTCGATTTGTCTCACCCCTGCATGACTCACTGGCTGTCTGCGCTGCGCTGGGCTCGGTTAGAAAGAAAGGTTGTAGCTGCTGCTCTTCGGTATCCCAGGATGAGAGCACGGAGAGTGATTGGACAAGGCAGCCTCGGGCTCGCAGCCAATCCACGGCCTTGCCTCTGTCCCTCGTAGCGACGGCTGTGTGATTGGTGCAGGTGTTGCAGGGCGAGGAATGAACGAATGGCGAAAGGAGAGATTGTGAAAGAAAGATTGTTTTAGCCTCAGAATAAGGAGAAGGAAGGTGATCATGTAAACACAGTGAAACTTAATGCTACTGCTAGATTCTTGGAGGATTAATGCAAAAGGAAATGTGTATCATTTATAGGTATTTCAAGTGAATCAGACAAATCTATACACATAAAGTCAATGATTGTAGTTTAGTTATCCACACATAATTAGCAAAACCATAATAGCAAGGGCCAGGGTATTATTTACCAGTTATAACAACATGTGCAATAAATTGATAAATGTTGTAATTACTATTAAAAAATGCTTGTTGAACAATTTGTACAAAAAATATGAATGCTGCTTGCTGCAAAGATCAATTATAAGTCAGAATGGATACACGGCTCAGTGTTTCGCATTGATCTGACATCCCTGCTGTCCAATTTGTTGCTTTTATCTTTTATTCAAGAGATCAAATTATGCTTTTCGACAGATGCCTCGAAGTATGCGTGTGAGCTTGTTTCATTCCGCCATCCCACAGATCTTACAAGGCTCGATTGTACCATCTTCATTGGGAATGCAATGAGCAGGACACAAATGCACAATCGGCGTCATGCTATCCAAGTTAGGAATAATATAGCGTTTGAATTATTGTGCTCTTCAACTCTTTCATGAAGCAGAGATTCATCAGTAAGCTGAGGTGGTCGTGAAGTGAGGTGTCAAGTCTGTTATGACTGTGTCAACCTCCATCCAGCATTGTAGCAGAGAATGGGCCTTGTGTATGTGTGTGTGTCTGCTTGGTGGACTAGGTACCAGGAGACACAGCGTGAGCGTATGAGTGAGCGAACTGAACAATAGCACTGCTTTAAGCCGGCTGACCAGTGGGGGAGCGCGAGGCTGGGCTAAAACGTCCGCGGAACGCACCAGTGGAGGACTGGCATTGTAGGGTGAATACAGTGAGGGGTCTGTGACAGAATGAAGAGAGACAGGGAAAGGTTGGTGGCATGCACCAGGGCCTAAGAGCAGGGGTAGAGGGCGGGGGGCTGATATAGGGGTGGTGAATGTGTATGACAGAGATCTTTTTTTTGCATTGGACAGAGCTGTGTTTGTTTCATCTTCAGTTGAGGAATGCTGCTGTCCTTGGTGACAGGGGGGCATTATGTGGATTTTATGTCATTACTGGATGACTTGAAGCTGCACCCAGAGCTTCTGCGTCAAACGGCATACAGCCAACATGTGTGACGGTCACACCGGGCTCGATGCTTATCCAGAAAATCTGCGTGCTGGGAGAAAGGAACCATCGGTAGATTGGTTTAGAGGTTCTTCTTTTTCCGTGATGTTTAAAGTAGATTCAGTATGGCGCTGTGTCGGAATCAAGGATTTCAGTATTTGCTCAACAGCTGGAAAGCCCTAGAGGGGGACAGTGTGCATGTTTGTGTGTACGTTCCAGTTGGAGGATGAGCGCTCTGCAGATGGAGGGAGGCAGAGTGGTGAGCTTGTTCAGCTGTTGGAGGGCCCGGCGGGTTAAATCCTGCCGAGGCTGTCTCACACACTGAGACTGTTGGGATCTCTTTCACATACACACAAAGGGGGCTGAGATGCCTGGGGCAGGAGCTGGGGCATCGGGCTCTTGGTTCTCACACTCTGAACCGGCGCACCATTTCAGTTGGGGTCATGGACTCAGACCCCATCACAGTACTGAGAGTGGCTGGCCACTCCGTCTCGCTGTCATTATCATCTCAACACTCACCCTGGACACCTCTATTTCCTGAACCATGAGGATTCAAGGAGGTAACTCATTTCACCAGAAATGTGAATGTGCAAAATCGTGCTTCCTGTGTAGCAATTGCAGGCAAGATGCTGGATGTTGAGTTTATTTTGCGCGTCTAAACTTTTTGTGAATGCTTTACTTCGTGATAAAAAATTTTTATGGCAGTTTTTTTTTTTACTTAACATGTCAAATCCACCAGTAGAGTATACAGTTCTGTCCAGTCTGATAGTTGTTTGTTACTCCTTTTCAGTACAGCTGTTGAAATCTTCTGATATTGGCCGCCATAGTCTGCTGTATCTGAAAGAGATTGGTCATGGCTGGTTTGGAAAGGTAATATGTTTCTCTTATTTTATTTTAATAAAGTTTTCTAATAGAGTCTAGATAAACTGATTCATCTGCCTGATTATAATTAATTGACTTATTTTCTGCACTGTTCTTACTACATTTAATGTTTTTTTACTCTGGAATGTGAAGTTAATGATATGCAACTCAGAAGGCCAAGGACAATCTGTGGCACTTCTGTCAGGGTGTCAACTCTGGGAGAAATGAGAAGAAACTCACAGTTACAGTGGATTTCCTGCAGTTTAAAATCTTACTGCAGCTTTTGAATTTCTCCTCACACCACTCCCTCTTCCACCTTTAAACTTTGCAGCTTTATATTGATGTTGTTTCTTCTTTATGTACCCACTGCCAGTCTGTCTCTGAAAAAAAAAATGCTTGGCTGTTCTGTTTTTTCTTTCCATAATCCCACAGGTTTTGTTGGGGGAGGTCACTGCAGGCATCAGCACCACCCAGGTGGTGGTGAAGGAGCTGAAAGCCAGTGCAAGCGTCCAGGACCAGATCCAGTTCCTAGAAGAGGCCCAATCATATCGGTCAGTGCCATGAAAAGTAACAAGCTTCAATTTAATGTTATTTATTCTTAGAATGGGTGCTATTTAAGTGTTTGTTGTTGTGCCAGAACCCTTCAGCATCCTGCACTCCTGCAATGCCTGGCGCAATGTTCAGAGGTCACTCCCTATCTACTGGTCATGGAGTTTTGTCCTCTGGTATGAAAACAATTTAGTGTAAAATGTTGTTTGCTCCCTAATATATATAATATCTTATTTCTATTTTTGGCCCTGCATCACTTGTAATCATGAACAGACTGGACACTTAAAACCCTCATTTCCTTTCTTCCTCCTCTCAGGGAGATCTTAAGAATTACCTCGGCAGTTGTCGGGCTACGGACTCCGAGACTCCAGACGCCTTGATCCTGCAGAGAATGGCTTGTGACATTGCTTCAGGACTCCTCCACCTACATAAATACAATTTTATCCACAGGTACATAACAATGGTCCCAGTCTCTAAACAATTAAACCTGCTTTTACTGCACTGAATGAGCAACATCAAATCAAAGGCTTTGTGTGCCCCCTGTTGGTCTCTTCCTGCAACAACATCCTGGTGCTGCCTGAGTTCTTCACACAAACTCCAGCATCAGTGATTTTGTTGCTGGGGGTGAACCTCTTTTCCTTGCCATGACCGCCACGCTGAAAAACTCGACATGTAAAAGAGGTGAGATTAGACTGAATGTTTCATTGCTTGTGCAACCAGGTTTAAACAAACAAACAAACAAAAAATTAACAATAGACTTCTACAAAAGATGTCTGTCAACACTTGATGCAAATTCATCTCAGTATTTCTTTGGCACAACAGTGACCTGGCCCTGCGAAACTGCCTTCTTACATCAGAAATGTCTGTGAAGATCGGCGACTATGGGCTGTCTCATAGCCGCTATAAGGTCAGCTCTATAATCAAATATACCTTTTTGTTTTACTTTTTACCCCCTTTCCATTCATAAACCTCATGCTCTATGTTTGCTCATGCAGGATGACTATTTCATAACTCAAGACCAGATTTGGGTGCCTCTGCGCTGGATCGCACCAGAACTCATAGATGAAGTCCATGGAAACCTGCTGGTTGTTGATCAAACCAAAAGCAGCAACATATGGTGAGAATACGGTCACAGATGTAGCTGTATTAAGGCTACGCAACATTCTTAGGTATTTTTCCTTCTAATATTGTTTTATTTTTCAACAATAAGAATTTATTTATTTCCAACCTTAAAAATTTCTTCTGGGTTTGCTTATTTGTCTCAAAATGCTTTAGTTTATCAAACTTAAACATCAAATGTAAAATGGATAAATTCAAAAGCTTTACTACTAAAGAATCTTGAAACGTTCTTATTGAAAATATGAATTCTCCTATGTACTACAAAATCTTAAAAAAGAATGCTGAGCCAGCAGTCGGACTTCAAGATTAAATACTCTCGGGTTTCAATCAGGGCAATAAAACATGCCATACCATTCTTCCTTGGAATCACTTCAAATAAAAAAATAACCTCAAAGTTTGTATTTTTCAATAGCTCCTTTAATAATAAAAGAAAAATCTTCATCTGTAAGTGTAATAAAAATTCAAAAACTGATGATCTCTTCAACTAAGAACATACTTTTTGTGGCACTGTGTTGCTATTGATTTTGTCCTTGTTTGTATTATATATATATTTTTTTCATTTTGCAGCATCAAGCATCTTGACTTCCATTTCTTCCATTCCTCCAGGTCTTTGGGTGTGACTTTATGGGAGCTGTATGAGCTGGGAAACCAGCCGTACAGACATTACTCTGACAGACAGGTGTTGACATATGCTGTGAAGGAGCAGCAGCTCAAGCTACCGAAACCTCAGCTGCAGTTCCCCTTGGATGACCGCTGGTGAGACATGATTTCACTATTTACCCATTTAGGGTAAATACAGCATTGATCCCTAGACATGTTAGGACTTTAGACATTCAACATCACCAGGCTTTAGGCCTAACTGGCCAATTGTTTCATTAACAGCCATTTTTTGTTGTTGTATCTGACTGTTGCAGTTATATTTCTCATTGAAAGTGAGAGCAACTGATCAATCGTCTTTCTATTCTTTATGACCATCCTGGCATATAAAGCAGAGTTAAATCACCTCATCCATCTTTACCTGCAAGATAGCTCAACATTGTTTATGCCTATTAATTTTTCACTGTTGTTGTTCTCTGAGAAAGACATTTGGCACTAAGCTACACTGACACACACAGAGAATATTTCTACTGAGTCAGCAACCATACTGCACCCTCCTTATATACCCTGTAAGTTATTGGCCAGAGCTGTAAATAAATGCCAGGTGTAGCTGCAAAGTGCTGACCTCTGAGGTTCTCTTTAAATTGCTTAGCTGTTTATCTAGGATCAATTCTTTAACTCCTCCTCATCCAGGATCCCATTAATTTTGTTGATAAGCTGGTAAGAATCTGAAATATTTTTGTACCTTTTCAGGTATGAAGTTATGCAGTTCTGCTGGCTGCAGCCAGAGCTCAGGCCCAGCAGTGAGGAAGTGCACCTTCTGGTCACATACCTATGTGCCAAAGGCTCAAGTGAAGCTGAGGAAGACTTTGAGCAACGTTGGAATGCCTTGAAACCCAATTTACTTGGCAGCACATCGCACACAGCTGCATCCGCATCCCTGGTCTTCACTCCCACCCCTGCTAACATCCCCAATGCAGACCAAACTCAGGCAGCGGAGCTGGCCTCTTCTGCCTCGTCCTCCTTCCCCCTCCTGGAGCATTTCTCTGACAGCTTTCACTCTGACACAGGGGATGACCTCCTGACCGTCACCGAGACAAGCCATGGACTCAATTTTGAGTATAAGTGGGAGCCGGGCCGAGCTGAGCAGCCTTATTGCTCTTCCTCCACCAGCGGGCAACTGGGTCAGGAGAACCCACACTACCAGGATATTTACTATTCTAACACAGGGAGTATCTCAGTGGGTTGCAAGGCTGACAGTCTGACATCAAGCAAATCCCCATCCTATTATGAATCAGAACACACCAGTGTCGTTCCAGTGCTGAGTGCCCACAGCCCCTCTATTAGCAGTGAGTATTACATTCGTATAGAAGAACCTGTCCAGTGCAACATCAAGATTGATGATGGCATTGACGACTATTGTTCAGAACTGGAATCTGCTACCAGAAGGTTGTCATCTGAAAACAAAGCTGGTCCTTACTGGTCCACCACTGACAACACCAAATCAAATGATTCAAGTCCCAACATTCAACTACACGCACACCCACTGCTGAGCCCTTCATCTAACAACAGTCCAGTGAAGTCAGGTTGTTCATACAATTCACTTCTGTCTTATAACAGTAACGCAATCTATTGTGATGACTCACCTCCACCTAAGACACAGAAGCAATCCTCTCCCCTCAAAAATACACCAGAGATTCAAACAAACCATCTTCATACACGTGCTATGTTAGAAAACCCACGCAGTTTATCCCAGGCTGTCAGCAGCCCCAGTTTAGGATTCTGCGATCCATACCTTGAACCACACACAGGCCGTAGCACAGTCAACGAAAGTTGCCATGATATGTTGGGCCCCCTCAAAAAGACGCTACCCATTATAAACCACTTTGATATAGAGGTAGGAGATGATGATGGCAATCTGCAATCGGATCGACGGAAAAGTAGAGAAGTTGAGGATAAAACCAACTGGATCTCAAACCGTTCAGCCAACAACAACAGCTTTGACAGCAGAAACATAGACAGTGTGAATGACAACTGTGAGGCTGTTCAACCTGATACAACAGATGTATGGGCTTTGACCAAGGACACCACGAGAACCTTCCAAAGTTTTAAGCCTTGTGGCACCTTGAGGAGCAACGAAGAAGGCCCTGAATGGAGTGCATTGTGCATGTCTGTTGGTTTAGACTCTTACATCCAGATATGCCACAAAGAGTCGGCTCAAGAGGAGAAGCCTCCAGGTTTGGATATTTTTCAAAGCAGCAATGCTCCTATCGGCCCAAGAAAGAATAGCAGTAGTACTGGTGAAGAAAATATTGTCCCTCAGACTGCTCAAACAGGGATCTTGTCTGATATGCAGAGAAGCAACATCTGGCAGGAAGTTTCAGCTGGAACATCTGTTAGTCTGAGTGGCTTAAGGCTGAATCATTCAGAACCGTCCAAAAGCAGCAGAAACCAGCAACAAGTAATAAACATTAGGGACACCAGCAGCTGCCTGGTTGAACTTGGTGACTACAGTGAGGATGAGGAAGATGACATGGCCGATATTACGTCAGGGATCTTTGCTGACTTCAACCTTGACCTCAGTGAAGTTGAGGAGGAGGACCTCAGCCCAAAAAAGATTTCAGAGGTGAATTCGGATGCATTGGGTGCCATTAGTGTAGTTTCATCTGTGGCAAGCTCCTGCGACCAGGCCTTCAGCCCTGATCCCTACAACACACCCATCCTGCCCAAATCTCTGGACAGTGGCTATGACACAGAAAATAATGAATCTCCAGAGTTTATGTTCAAAGAGCTCGGAGATCCACTTGGTGAAAGTTGCCCTGGGTTGGGTGGAGAATCCGAAATTGCGCTACATGTTGGTTTAGGGCCGGGTGTCTGCACTTCAACAATCACCTCAGAGCTACATGTAAAGAGCCTTGTTGATAATCAATACAGGGATTCAGCCTACTTCTCGGACTATGACGTAGAAAGTGACAAGAGTCCCAAAGAGGAAGACAACGGGTTCTTTGCAGAATCAAGGAAACATGGTCCTGATAATACTTTTAACACTGCAGGTGAACATTCTCTTGAAAACAGTCTAACCTGTGGGAGGAATTTAACAAACCTGAGACAACTCAAAAGTTGTGTTTTGGCAAATCTCTCAGAGGCCAGTTTGTACATACCCAACAATATTCAAACACCTGAGTTGTCCATGCTGTCACCATTTCCTCCACAGATGGGTGGGTGCCTCACCAAAGAAGCTGCTCCTGCTGATGATCTGGGGTTGGACAATGAACATTCGGGGAATGAGCCTGCATCTGAGCTGAACTCCCTCAGTGGGTCAGAGCCCTCCTCTTCTGTCCTGGAAGTCTCTGCAAACCATGAAGAGGATTGCAGGGGAGCAGAAAGCTGCTCATCTGTCCATTCATCTGTCGCTCATTGCTCCCACTCCGACTGCAGAGAAAAACCCTGTGAAGAAAATGAAAATGTTGAGGGATCCACTGAGGAGGAAGAGGTGCCTGGACAGAGTCATGTCAATGAAGAAAACCAAAGGGAGGGTGGGAGAATAAATGAGGAGGATTTTGAGGACATCGACGCAGAGGAATGCGACAGCCTGTGGGAGGAATCCAATGGCCCTCAGGACCTTTCCACCTCCTCGTCATTGTTGGAGCTTTGTGGTGAAGACGTAAGAGCTCCGCTGGAAGAGGCTGAGGATGAAGATGATTCTGATGAAAGTGAGTCTGATGAAGAGCTGAGAACCTACAACATCCAAGATGAAGAGAGCGAGGAGAGCGAAGAGGATTTCAGGACAGTGCCGGTAGTGGTGAGTGACTGCAGCAGGGCAAGACACCTCCGCAGCCTCCTGAAGATGCCCTCCATGCTTACCCAGTCCTTCTGTGAGGAGCTGGAGAGGAAGAAAAAAGCGGTATCCTTTTTTGACGACGTGACGGTGTTTCTGTTTGACCAGGTATGGCACGTTAACGTATCAAATTTGTACCATATTGACTTCTGAGGAGTTTATGAATTAAACAATGTAATTTTCAGGAGAGTCCTACTGGAGAACTGGCTGACTGCTCATTTCCCACTGGAGCGGAGCCCAGTCATCAAGAAATGTCAAACGCAGATCTCGAGGCTCCAACTGACGATGCTCACTGTTTTTCTAAAGAAACAGAGGGAAACAACTCAGCGGAGGGTATGCACTAAGAATGCCATTATGTTGGTTTGTTTATCCCAAACTTTTAGCTAAGGCTCTGACCGGAAACACCAATTTCCATTTGAATAGAATCTCCAGTAAAAAACTTATGCCAACAGTCACAGCCACTCTAGCTAAAAGGTGTCGTCTTCATGTCACTGTAGACGACACTAACATGTACTATGTTTTAACATTACACAGATGAAAATTACAAATGGGAAGATGAGGACTCTGTGGAGACATGTCCACCCTCACTTGACCCCATTCCTGATCCCGAGTCCTCACAAACTCCTATCACAGATGCACCCGAAGTTCCTAAACCTGTTGCTGTTCCAGTTAACCGTTTCATGGTCTCTCGATTCTCCATCACACACGTATCTGACTCCCACACAGACACAACAGGTATGTAATAAACAATCACCTATACACTTTAGAGTGCTTCGTCATATGTGGTTCTGTGTTCAAAAATCTCTTGTGTCCAACAGGGAATACTGAAGATAACCCAAAACACTGAGTGTCAAAGGAGAGACCAGAGGAGGCGGAGACAGAAAAGCAGCGTTATTATATTCAAGATGATATACAGAGTTTTATTTTTATTAGTGTTTGGGACATCTGATTTCGAGAACCTTTATGAGACATTGTCTCATATTGTGGCCAGATACATTATTGATTTGCACAAACCTTTTATTTCTTGACATAAGTGCAATAGCAGTTCGAGTGAAAATTTGGTTTTAAGTACAGAACTACAGAATGTGGACACAAATTTATATAATATAGTTTGGGGGACCGGGTGGGAATCTTGTTTCTGCAGATCTAACATAATTTTGCTTTATGAAGCTGCCGTTCCTTTATGGAAATGGTTTTTCTGTTTAAAATATAAATGGAAAAATAGCTGTTTCTCCCATTAGCTGCCTTTTCACATCTGCTTGGAAACTAGTTCTGGCAACTTTAAGACTGTTATTGATTATTGTATCAAAGGCAGAAAACAGTACTTGACAGTTTCTTCACAGAAAGCCATAAAAGTTGAGGGGTATTTTAAATTGAAATCAAATAATATTCACTTTGTGTGAAAATTCAACTGATTGAAATGCAAATGCCAGTACCTAAGTCACAATTATTAGTCCTTTTGGTTTAAATTGCACTTTGTGTAGCCTCAGCTACACTTCATTTTCCCCAAACTGGAACAAAATGGCCAAACACCAGATATTTTGTTTTCATTCACAGTGCCAGGTGCAGGTGTTTACTCTTCATTTTTTTTCCCCAAATGGTTTTCTTAGAACAATCAGATGGATCGAGAGCTGTTTCCACAGAACTTGTGGTGTCACTACAAACATCCCAGTCATAAATGTGGAATGTCACTTGTCATGTTAATTTATCTTTTCTAAGAAAATGACTAAAAAATGTCTTGTATACAAAAGAGCTGTTACACTTTTGGTGAATGCCTGAGCCTGAGGTGAAACTAAGACATTCAGAAAGGGACATATCTGGTATATTGTATGAATATTATATTAACATGTAGCAGGTAGCTTAAGTAGAATTATTAATGCTGTATCAACTGCTGTATTCCCTCCCTTTCTATCCTCCTGTAGCTCCAAGATTCAATGCCTTTCCCTCTCACTTTGCCTTTTAAGTTGTGGAAGTTTAAGAAAATGTTGTCAGTATTTTTGTATGAGCGTTTCAAAAATGCAATTCAGGATGAGCGTTTATTGAATTTGCCAAAGAAAATTTGCAAAGCCCTTTGGCTTTTAAATGGCAGATGCCTTTGGGGAAGGTAAGGTTGCTCTTTGCACCAGAAGTGACATTGTTGCGGTTTCCTTTTTTTTTTTTTCTCAGTAATCGCTGTTGTACTTCTCCCATTCCCCTCCGAAAATATGAATAAATCCAAGTACTTTTTCCCCTTTCTTGTATTTGTGGTATATTTTATTTGTTTACATCGCTGGGCTTTTGTAAAAGCTAACAGTCAAATGTGAGAGCACAAAGACAAAGTATGCCAACTATGTAAGTTTAAATTTATTTGACAGGATAATTTAAACACATTTTCTTTACAGTGTAGATATAGTACAAACTGGGAGTGAAGATAGAAATAAAGACAAGGGCAGCTATATTTAAAAATAAAATAAAAAAGACACTTAATTGTGATGCAAGTGTGACCACATCAGTGTAAATGACTCATTTGTTAAAAACAAACTCATAATTTAGAGTACAATGCCTTACTGGAAAGCATCGCTGCCCATTAATCCAAACAATATTTCTTTGATTTTAACCTCTTTAGTCTTCATCTTCACACTTTCTAATTTATGTAAAACATGTGTGTTTTAGATCAGAGTGCCCTGTAATACTGAGAATGAAAGATCTGAAAAGATAATACTGGAGTTTATCTGAATATCAACCACTCCCTCAATGCTAAAAAGAAAAAAAAAAGACAGTATTAGGATTTTCCCCATATCGTGATCATTTACAGAATTAGACATTAATAAAATTAAAATTATAAGGAAAGAAATAGCAATTAAAAAATATTTTAGGGTATTACTGTGAACTTGTAGCTCTGAAATATTTCCATAATATTGGCAGGATAAAAAAAAAAAAAAAAAAAAAAAACAGGCAGAACTTTACTGCACATAATTACCCTTAAACCAATATAACAGAACAATAAGAACATTTATTTTTGTTTACAAAACCAGCAAAAAAGCAGAGAAGGCACAGGAGAGTCAAAGTCTGGGTGTCCTGCATCACCACTAACAAATATAATCATCTTAATGACCTAAAAGAAGCTAAATTGAAGCATAGTGACAAACTGATCTGTGGCCCTGCTTTCAGATCCCACTCCTCTTTACATATTAAAGAAAAACTCAGATGAAACTTAGAAGAAAAACTAATATTTTAACAGAAAAGCAGATAAAGGAAAAACTTTGTAACTTTACCTTAACAATAACAGTTGTGACCTAAGTAACTTAATAAATCTATAAACCATCACCTTTAAAAGTTCAGGCAGAGACATTTAATTGTGGTTGAAGTTGTTGGTTTCTAAGAACTTCAAAAGAAATTTTTCAATAAAAGAAGAAACTAAATTTGAGGTTGAGCAAGTCATCTGTTGAGACAATCCCACTTCTGGGCCCTCTTGTGGTAAATATAAAACATGCAAGTCATGGTTACTTGTCTTCTCTCATAGAATAGGCGCCCATCAGTGGAAAGAAGGTGGCGGCAGGTTGCTAGTAGTAGATGGGTGCAGACCTTTCGTCAGAGAAGGAAGGACGGAGGAAGAGCTCGAGGGACCGGTCGCTGCAGAGAGAGGAGGGAGGAGACAAGGAACACTCACAGTTATTAGTCAACACGATCCCAATTTGATCTATACAGACACCCACAGAAACATGATTAGACGTTTCAACCACACCCAAGGATAGTTTACTTTTACAGTCTAAGAGTGGTCAAAAAAAGTTGCTGTTTTGTGAGATCAAGCATGAGATGAAAAAAACATTTCAAACATTAATGAAAAACAGTTTGTAATACAGAAGTGGAAAAATGTGTTGGCATCCTAGTTAAATGTGTGTAAAAGCACCCAATCCAATTTTTTTTTAATTTCAGCACATTTATCAAGTTAGGGTAAATCATCAGGTGTAGATTTTGAATGTTTTTTTTTTTTTTTTTTGCAAAATCCTTAAATTTAGAAGTAAAGTCAACTAACTTGCAGTTTGAAGATGTGACTATGGCATTCCCACTAAAAGTTCTTGGTGTCTTTGAAAGAGAAATGAAGGCATTACTAAGCCTTCATGTTTAATCAAATATTTTTTCACATACCATTTGTTGGCTGCTAATAAGGGAATTTATGAATACTACATGTATACTTAGTTCCATTATGTGTAAATAACCATTTCTATGCATCATGAGCATAAATGTAACATCTGCATGCCATTGTTTCTTTCCATGTTCGAAAGACAAACTGACCAGTGGTAAATTAAATTACAATGTTCTAAGCGGCCTCCCAAGTGGTCAGATAGTGATTAGCCTATGAATCCAAGTAGGTCAAGGTGCCAGTTTCAAACATAAATTATTCTGAGAATGAACAGTCTTCCTAAATCAACACGAGATTAAGAATTATTATTGGGCCAATGCTGTAATGTCAGAGTCGCAGTTCATATGATTCTGTAATGAATCTTATTTGGACATGTTCAAATTAATCTTTGTCAAAATAAAACTCAAGAATGCTTTCTTTCATTTATTATAAATGTATTGTCAAAGTTATTAAGTATTGCACAACTGGTAATTTAGTAAATAATGATTTTAAGATTTTTTCCCCCCCAATACAATGTAATAAAATTAAAGCTTGAACTTTTCCTGAGAGATAAGATATAAATGAATGTATTTTAAGGCTTTTTACTCATTCTTACCAGGTATACCAACACATTTGTCAGAGTCTGTATGTAGCCATGCGTGGTTAGTGTCTTATCTGGATGATATTGGATTATGGAAAGAAAGACGAAAAAAAATAGCCCAACCCCATGGCCTGCCACAGTGCCAGATTGCCAAAAACCAAAAAGACCAGTTTTTCCAATATCGTATTCCAGCAGACGATTAGCAAAAAGAGATGAGACAAAGCATTCATAAGAGAAGTAAAACATAGGTGATTAGTTTATTGAGAGGCGATGGAGACTGAGGGACTTACAGCGGTCCTGTTCCCTCAGAACCGGGACAATTCTGGACCCAAACTGGAAGGTAAAGAGAACCTTGGGGTTTGAATGGTTCATACCTCAAATCATGCATGGAACAACAACTTGTAAGGACAATTGTTAGTCTGATGCAAGACAAACATACTGTACGTTGGTAAGATTTAAATGAAAAACGTATATCAGGAGTGCAACACTTCATGCTCTACATGCCATCTCAATTCAACACAACCTCAACGGAGACAGATTTCACCATGAATGGACCAAAATCAACTACGAAAAACGAGTCATTTCTTTAAACCAAGTACAACTCTCACAAGAAAAATTTAAAAAACCAAGGAATGTCTGCAGGCAGGAAAGATTCATTTCCCCACAATACAAATACTGAAACAAAACACCACCTTCACTTACTTCTTCTTTTTTCCCACAAGGACAGAAGGCAGTGCAGATGTAATATGGGTGTTCGGAGGAGGCAGGGATGAAACATGCATGGGACACAGCCGTGACGGAACTACTCACAAAATGTTACTTTTTAGAATGAAAAAAAAAAAGCATAAAGAAACACTGAAACAAGGAAAATGCCTCGTCAGTGGCAGAACAGATTCCTCGTCAGACCAGAACAGTTTATTAATATATAGAGATGTGTTTTATTTAGAATACCTTTGTAAAAAGTCACCATACATTCAAGGTCAATTTTCAGTGTCACATTTTTCTGGTTTCCCCCTCCACAGCATGCATAAGATAAACGCTTCAGCTCATCAGAATGTTTAGCATTTTTTTCTGTAAATATGTTACAAGGACAGTGTTTATCATTACTGTTTTTTTTTTCCTTCAAAAGAAAAGACCAAAACTGCACAGCCACTCAAGGAATACAATCAGGAAAAAAAACAGGGAAAATTGCAGAAAGCTGTGTTGATAAGTAAATCTCAAGTTATTCACAGCTGTAATTTAAGAATAGTCAACAAAAGGTTCACCAGTACAGCTTTAAGTGGGAGAAAAAAGAAACATTATTTTAATTTAACCAAGATATCTGGCAGTAAGTGAGCCAGGAATGCAAAAAAGCAAAAAAATAAACAAGTATGCCTGAGGGTGTGAAGTTTAACCAAGCACACATTTATTTTAGACTGACTGGGAAGAAAACAAAAGAATTTATATGTTTGTGTTTATTCGAAAAAACAACAACAAAAAAACAAAAAAAAACCAAGCAAAGTAAGGCAGATATGACACACCCCCTGGACAGAAAGTTCCAGCACTGACACAAGGAAGCACAGAAGGACCTGTGGCAGTTCTCAAAACAGAAACACAGCAAGCTGCTGGACAGCGTTTGTTGAAACAAAGCTTTTTCAGCCTGTTTTTTGGTGGGAACTCAACAGTATTGGGGCCCCATGGTGCTTTAAAAAAAGGCCATTCAGTCAGTGGCTTTAAGTACAACGACATTGAAGACTTTTGGCACTTGAACAGTACATGAACATGTCTTTCAGTTTCTGACAAAATGACACAACCATGTACATGCATGAAAGACGAGCAGTAGCAAAGGCAGTCTCTTGAGAGAACAGTCCGAGATGTGCGGACTGTGATCAGAAAGAGTGTTCAGAGTCCGTATCGCTGCATGCCGAGCAGGTAGGCCCCGCTCGGGATCTCACGCTCAACGCAATCCTCCACCCACCAGCCGCTACTGTCCACACCAACGCCAGAAGCAGCAGCAGAACCCAGGACGGACAGGAGTAGGAAAAGGAGGGACCCGGGGAGGAAGAGAGGACAGAAAGGAGGGATGAAATTGGCCTCTTCCATTCGGAGAAGGGGTGTGAGTGGAGGCAGAGGTGCAGACAAGTGGACAGGAAGGGGAGTGGAAGAGGAAGGAAAAGATGGGGGAGGAGGAAGTGGAGGAGGCCCCTGTGCTATCCGGAGCTGTCTGTGTCTGTCTGTATGTCTGTTCTCACACAGTCGAAATCAATTTGCCATCAGGACTGTCACTGTGGAACAAAGAGAGAAGGAAGCTTGCCAGGTCGGACACACTCAGAGAGAGAAATGGAGAGAGACAAGACAGGCACAAGGAGGCATGGTGGCATTCAGAAGTAATGTAGATGGGGGTTCAGGAAATCTGTTGTTGACCCCACCTACAAAACTCCAAGCACACCTGTCAAAATCATGAAAGACTGGAGCTTCAATTCCATCATCAACACCCCTAAACAGAAATCAAAATCATTCCCCAAATCAAAGTTTAACGGTTTATATTTGCTTCTATGACACAAAATGGTGACCCAAGAAAGGAGCTGCTGTTGATGAGGAAATTACAAACTGATCTCCATAGCTGGAGGGGTGTAATATTTATCTGTGAGGGTAAATACACTCTGGAAGATGGTAATACCAGTACAGAATAAATAAACACACACTTAGAGCAGACAGGATTGTGAAAAGCAGCTAAACATTTGGTGCCAAAAGGCTCCAGGCAGGAATGGCTGAGATGATGTCAGCATGACGTAAACTGTCACAACACGTACGTCATAAACACCTGGACAGATACACATCCATCTCAGGACACTGTTTGCTCTCTTAAGCACACACCACCTCACACAAATTTATATACAAGCATAAGAAGGATGTTCTGGCTGATTAGACAGGAACAAGCACTCTAGATTCTAACTGTTATCCTAAAACAAACCTAAAGTGTATCAAGAACTTGATATGAATAAAATTCAAATTGTCTTGCCCAACAGCTTTTGGACCATGAACTGGTAAATTGATCCTGCCTGAATGTATTCAGTAAAGTAGATTTTATTTTTTGTAACACTGGAAAGAGACAAAAATCTAAAAAGAAAAAAAAAAAAGAAAAAAAAGTATATATATTCAATTTCAAAAGGTGTTTTATATTCAGTTTTGATCTCCCAATAAACATAAGAAGAAATACCAGTCGCTTGTTGTTGCTACTGATTGAAGATTTTCTACCAAATAAAAAAACATGTCCACCCCAATTTTCATATTATGATATAAAATGTATTTTAAGTGAAAGTAAAGATTTTCTGACATACAGTCATCTTGAAAGTAAAATCCAAAAAATGGCCTTGAAACCAGATAAGCGTTGCAGTTCCTTCAACATATATTTACACATGTTAAAGAAAAACACAAACGTTTCCTGCCAAAAAGATAGACTTACAAATCTTTATTACTAGAAAATTTAAATAGTGACGCTGAAAATACAAACGTCCAGCTATTTTTGTAAGCTCTGTTTCATAGCTACTCACAATGGGCAATCACAATGGTGCAAATCAACTGCACAAATGAAACCCTAATAACTTCTAAGATGTGTATTATTTTTGTTTTTATGACACAGTAATCATATTTTGCTGATTAACTTTTTTCCTGCTTTGAAATTGGTGAAACTAACATTTGGCATTTGAAACTGACACTGGAACAATATGGTTTATGTACAGCAGTTGCTCCTTCCATTAAGAATTTATTTACCATATCTCAAAATCACTCATGTATTACTTACTTAAAAAAAAAATAAAGCACCGACTATAAATTCATGGGAATGCAAGATGGGTTACATACCTTGTGGCAAAGCGGCTGTCATAATCCTCAATGGCAGGCTGGAAATTAAAAGGAATTATTTTTTTTAGTCTGGTAAAGCCCTGTTTTAAAATATAGACACTAGGTGGCAGCAAAAAACTAAGCAGAAGTCTAACTTTTCACATACTGCAGGATTACTCATAACCAATTATGCAACAAAGCCTTAACTCAGATGGAGGCTGCAAATTAAGCACACAAGTGCAACAATCGTATAATCTGCACATTTCATGGTTTAGTAATACCTGTGGAGCGAACCCTGCCATGCTGTAGGGCCGTGGGCGAGTCTGTGCTAAGCTCTGTGCCAACAGTCGGGCAGTTAGGCCGTAGTCAGGTGTGGGCAGTGATGCGTCGCTCTCCAGCAGGTTCCCAGTGCTGCTGCTTTTACCATGATGGAGACTGGAACTGCAAAAAGACATCAGTTTTGAGACTTTAATTCATTTGAGCTTTTAAAACCATTCATGAAAAGAAGCAGGACGTACTTCACTTTGAGCTTGTCGCCATCACTTTCAGGGAGCACACGTGTGTAGGAGAATGGGAACCAGCCACGCCTGGTGAAAATGAAATTATTTCAAATATATGACACACATTAATAAGTAGATAAATCCTTCAAAATATATTTTTACAATCCATAAATGATATAAATAAACAGAAATATGTTTTTATAGTATGTGTTGAGAAAAAAAAATGAACTAGACATACATCTTGTTCTTCTCATTTTCTCCATAGTGCCAGCCATCACGAGCCTCTGGCACTAGCAGGGTGATGACATCTCCCTCGGAGAAGCTTAACAGGGTACTGTTGTCGCCAGCGGCATGGGAGAAAATGGCCTGAACGCGTGAGCGCCCGTTCTTTTCCAGTCCGGCTGCCATGGAGCTGGACCTGGGCAGAGTCCGTGTCTCTCCTGAGGAAAGATGAATTTTAAATAAAGAAGGATTGGTGAGAAGACAGCTACCACATGCTACATGACAATCTATTAACACATTTCAATAATAAAAAAAAGAAAGAAAGAAAAATTTAGTAGTCAAATATTTTTGTGACTGTTTTGATTAATTTTCATAGATTGATGACAGTATGATGCAATCCAAGGTGTGACCATGGCAGCTTACCCACTGGGTTTTTATTCTTGGCAGGAGCAGGCCTACGCACAGGGAGGGTGTTGGAGTAGACATCGCTGACCTGTCTCTGGGGCTGGACCTGGGCCTGGCCCTGTGCCTGAGTCTGAGGGGATGCTGGCCTAACTTGAGACACAGACATTGAACCCCCATCTGTCCAGTATTCCTCGCCGTGGACTCCTGTCGTCCCATTGACCATCGACATGCCATCTGGGCCCATCAGCCTCTGGAGCAAGTGGGGCAAATAAAATCAGAAGAATTCTGACAATATTTCAATTTTAAATTACAGTAATCACAGATTCATTGCACCAATAAAAACAGAACGAATGACTCAAGGTGTTAATGTGGCTCGAAGTCAAATTCAGTGCTGTTCAGACAGATAAAACATCAGCCATTCATTTTCTCACCGCTGGGTGTCCGAGGCCGCTCCCCATAAAAACAGCCAGCTCCGGGGGAACAGGAAGAGGCTGAGCCCCTGGTATGGGGTCTGAGATGACCAGATTGGATTTGGAGGAGTGCAGGGGACTTGTGCCTCCAAGAGCAGCAGAACCCATCTGCTGGGCCAGCAGCATGGCTCTGTCAGGCAGTTTGTTGGGATCTGAGCAGGCCTGCTGCCACACTGGGATCTTCTGAGTCAAAAGGTCTTTTCCCTGAGAGAACACAGACAAGGATGTGGAAACAAATACATAAAAAAGCAAAAAGATAGGCTCAATGTAAATACTGGAAAAGGCATTTTTATTCAGTACTATCCTTCCATATCCAGTCCATATAAATGTTTCTTTGTGTGTATCCTTGACCACTGCTCTTTGTGCAGCTTTGATGATGTGCTGCGTGGGTAAAGCAGACCATCACACAACCAAGCTGTCCACTGCAATGTTTCCCAGCCTGTGGACACAGCTATTCTTTTCACTAGTATAGAAATACTGTTTAATGTTTGCCAGAAAAGAGTATATGTAAATAACACACACAAGCACAAAATGGGCTTTGTGCTTTCACATACAATGAGATTACACTAACATTTCCAGGGTAACACAGATATCTTGCACATAAGGTACTCTCTGGGAGCATGTTCATGAGTTTGGTGAAGGTGAACACTTCCCACACACACCCACATGCTGATTAATGACTAGACTTCATATTGGGAAAGGGGGGAGGAGGGAATGTGGTCGACATACACCATCCTCCTGCAGCCACATCTTCAGGCTGGCAGCTTTCACCCACCCATAATCCCAGGTGACTGATGCACTCCATTACCCATGGATTTGAAATTGCTGAGGAACAGAGAGGCATGCATTTGAACCATGCACACCCACACAATAACAAGAATACATATGTAAATGGATTTCATTCTTCTTCAACTCCTTATTTTTCTGGATCGTAAAATAAGGAAGTAAATTTGTTAGAATTTCAGTACCCTTTGCTTCAAATATCAATGTAAATACTGGAAAATAACATTAACATTAGTGTAAAAATGATTAAAAGTACTTCATAGCTGACCACTGGAAATTTATATGGTTTTCACAATTTCCTGGCCAAACCAATATTGTGCCTTTAACTGCAGATGTAGGGTTGTTGTGCTGGAGGGCAAACCTTTGCCCCACTCTTTTGCAGTTACTGATAGTTTTCTTGCAATATGGCCCTGAATTTAACTCGATCAATCTTCTCCAGAAGAAAAGCATCCCTACAGCAAGATGCTGACACCATCATATTTTGCTGAGAAAAGTGTGCTTACCGTGACACGCTCTGTTAGATATCTGCCTCAAATAGCATTCTCAAGAGATATGCTTAACTTCATCTAACCAGTCATCTTGGTCCATTTGTTCTCTATATTCCCTAATTGATGAGTGCAAAACTAAAAATATTCATTATTATGGATTTCTTTAAACAATAGCTTCCTAACAGAGCAAGAGAGGCAACAGCAGCATTAAAAAGGGATAGAGGTTTAAATTTTCTTTGCTGTACTCTTCCTGGGATTCACATATTGAATTGTTCATTCTATTTGTTCTCAAAGCAATTTTCTAGAGAATTTTACAGAGATCAATAACAGGCAGAAACCTAAATTGTGAATATCTTCAGTTAACTTAGGCCCCACATTTACAAATAAATTGCTAAAGCCATTGACCACATCGTTCATGTCATTCACAGTCCTATCCTTATCAAAACACCATTTTTAGTTATCTCATTTAACATTTTTCACATTCATTGGATGGAAAACAATGTAAAATAGCAACAGTGATGTGTTAATTCAAACCAATTTAGACGACGGCATGGGCACCTCTGTTTTTAAACTACACTGAAAAATGTGCCAATCATGTGTAGAAAAAGTTCAGAATTTGATCTTTTCGTTTTCTGTCATAAATAACTCACTTCTAAATGGAAAAGAAAACTGAACTAAATCGAGGTTTTAGGAGCATTTTGACTTACCTTTCCATGGTAGGCACTGCTGTTTTTGGCCACAGCACACTGTCGGTCCACCAGGAAGCAGTATCTGCGGCGTTCCTCTGACAAGGCCGTCTTGTAGCCCTCAGCTATGAAGGTGTCTAGCTCTGTCTGCTTATTGCTAATGGTCTCCACAAACTGAAAGGGAAAACACAATCATATGCAAGTATTAGCATCGTTTGCTTTTGTATTCAGATCTTGCTCGTTTAGCTTTATAGCACTTTGCCCATAGTAGCTGGTTTTTAAAAGGTGCTTAAAAAACACCTGAGAAATACATGTATTTGCTATGACTGTTTTCATTCATCTTGTGAGTGTGTTCAGCCAGCTCTTCCAAGTCCTTAAACAAACATTTGCAAAAGATTGATCTTCTGGTGTGTGGAGGGTAGAAATAAGAGGCAATGTCAAAAAACACTGAATAAAGAATAAATTAAAATGTTGTCAATTATCTTTACTTCATTTAAAGTAGCACTACTCTGTGACGCACTTCCATTGTTTGAAGCAGGTTGCAGCAAATTACATGACAAATATATTTCCAAATGTTTCTTTCTGTAAATATTACCTTAAGTGTTGGCATTCACCTTTGATAATATGTCAGGGAATAACAGACCAGTCTGAGTTTTGAGTCTCAGGGGAAAAATTAAGTAAACATTTCTGTGATGAAGTGTAATACATATATAAAGGTTTAAGAAATACAAGATTTTTCTTGTTAAGGCTTCCTACTGCTTTTAAAGAAAGAAATTGTATGTGACCCCAGTCCAAGTGTTGTTTCACTTAGTGACCAGCAGGGCACACTCTTTCCCACTTTCAAGCAACACAGAGTTAGGTCTTTCATTAGCCAAATGAGAATCTTATAATTCCAGATGACACTAATTCAACCATTTTGAGTGATTTATTTTGCTGGACTTAGCACAAAGGCTAAAAAAATGCTGGTTTAATTAGTGGTTACAGTTCTTTAATTAATGTTTGGTTGAAATAGGAGCATCATGTCAGCAAGAGTTGTTTATATGGCTGCCAAAATATACTAAGAGGTGGAACGATGACTTCCATTCCTTCTAATCATCTCTAAAAACAAAAGGATTGTGATTTTGTTGTGGAATGACTCAGTCTATGCAGTAGCAGCAAAGATAACAAAAGGAGGTAGAAAGATGGAAGAGCCCATTATGGTAAGGAAGTTTGGGAAATTACATCTGGATGTAACACCTACATGCATTCATGAACCGGTTCTTGGAAACGTCAGAAGTTGTCCACTGCAAGTACCCTTTAAAAGATCACAGTCAAAGCGACTGTCCCTCTGTCTCTCTGGCGGAGTGACCCTTTTCGTATTTGCAGTCTGTGACTCACAAGCTGCTAGCCGCTGAAACACCTCTAGCCAGAGCTAATAGGAGCGGCTCAGGCAGTGTGTGCTCGCCTTTTGTCAAATCAACATGGCCCCATTCTCCAGCCATTCAAAAGGTCACGAAAGTAACCCAAGACAATGAGTGCAGTGGGAAAAGCACACGCAGACACCTGGCACCATTATTTCCCAGTGACCTCAAGTTACATCAAGGAAAGAATGAGTTGTTCTGCACAGGTTATGGATGGAAATGAAAACTGCTACATGTCAGTGGAGTGTTAACACCCAGGCTTTAAGTACTCAGTATTACAAGTTTTTCTTTGTACATCTTATTACGTTGACATATTCAGGACGAAATCCCAACACTTCAGCACTTCATTACTGTGCACTGCCAACACATTTTTCAATAATTACAGCCACTGGGATGGAGGCTCTCAAAGCATTTAAAAGGTGAAGAATACACCTGGATTCACAACAACACTGCGGAATGCTGTAAGTACAGAGAAAATTTCAAAGCATCGTCCAACTCTGTTTTAAACTACTTAGTGCTTCCATTTTGTTCTGGTGCTACATTAGCACTACTCTTTCGAATAAAAAAAGAAATAAACTTGAGACATCTAAATGCAAAAACACCTTGGGTATATTATCATTGCTTTAATGCCAGTACTCTAAAAAAAATTATACTTTGAATATGCAAGTCTATAGATCAGAAACTGTTATATTTTGTGAAAAAAGGTGCAGTGGGTCAAACATCAGTTTTATGATAGGAATTCTTAGCTTGGAGTTCCATCTCTCTCTCTGTTTCATCTTAATAAAATCCAATGCAGCACAAAAGAGTTTATCTTGATAGAATCCCTTTATATAGTTCCTTAGTATTCTTCATAGTCTACATAATGAAATAATTAGCATTTCATCAGACTTTACCTATTGATGGTTCTTTGCGAGTGTTTAAAGGCAAGAAAGATCAGAAGACGAGGAGAGACAAAGAGACTATCAAAAGTGGGTGGTCTCTTTATTGTCGTCTCTTTTCACTGATGGACTGCACCAAGACACCAACTTGTAAAAAAGCAGTCTCTCTCATCTTCCAAAGCATCACAAATGTGGTGGAGGAGGATGAAATGCTGCCCTCATCTCTACAGCATTTACTCGTCTTTTTCTTGCCTGCCTCCTGCTGATTTTCTATCCGCACAAATTAAACCATCCAATCTGTCACAAGACTGAACTATTTTTCAAGGTGGACACTTGTAATTGTGAAGCACAGGTCTTGTGGGAGTGCAGGGCTCTCGCTCTCTTATTTGCGAGCTTTGCTTCTTGTGGGCTCAGGCACCAACGAGTTGACTTTTCTCTCACACGCCCACAGCTGTGATATGATCAGTGAAAGTGAGCAGACTGAAAATGAGAAAGGGAGATTGATTTTTCTTCTCTCCTGCAAAGTTGCTGTAAATTATGAGTCCACAATATGATGAGCCCTTCACTTTGCACAGATGGGCCTAATTGATCAGTTATGCAGACTCCATCCATAAACTCTAATTTATGTTGAGCATGGAAAGAAGTAAAATGTTCTACTTTACTTCTCTCTTTGGTTCGAGTGATTCAGCTGAAGTGAGATGTTAGGCTAATAGCTGTTTTAAATTTCTCAGACATTTGCACTACAAGAGAGATTCTATTATATTATAAGATGTTATGTTTTAATATTACCATTCTATGAATCTGAAGATTATATGAGAAGAATATTTAAAGGCTTTTTGTATTTTGTAAATTTAATTTAAATAAAAATCCAACTATTTACAAATAAAATAAAATTAATGTACATTATTATTAGGATTACAAAACTGTGGAATAGTGTTTCCCTTCTTAAATCTATGATTTAGATTTTTTAAATTTATTTTTCACTTCTTTTAGTTATTCTTGCATCTAAGGTTGTGATGGTACTTGTGTATGAACTAAATAGCCATGACAACACAATAGGGGGGAAGCAATGGGATAATCCCAGCTAGGCAAAAATCAATACTTGGAGAGTGAACCATTTTTTTTGTTTGTTCAAATTAAAATGTAAGATTTATTAGTTTATCATAAGAGCAAACAAAGTAAATGAAAATGATGAGAAAAATCTGTCATTTGACTCAGATGTGTTGAAGGGACATGTCTAAAAGTAGCAGAATAATGGCTCCTGAGGATTGGACTTTGGTACCCATGCTTTAGTCTGCAGAAGTAAATAAAACATCATCTTGTTTACTTGTGTTTGTTATGATGTTGCTTGTTATTTCAGGAGTAGTGTATAGTAATCGAAAAAGTTGATTTTTCATTTGGATTACTACCTCTTCATTATTCTGATTTTTTTAAATCTTCATTTGAAGGCTTTTATTTGTGTAGAGTAATGCTAAATGCTCTACTTTAAATTATGAGAAACGCATAGAAGACTCATACTTTTCTTGATATATACAACCCAGTACTTCCTCACAAGGCAAACAATTTATTTTTCTGATTGATTTCTAATTGATTATGATCATGAATTACAAAAATCATAAACGAAAATATATAACATGGCTTAATGTTACCATTCTATAAATAAAAACATTTATGGATTGTCATTCCTTGGTGGAATATTTTCCAAACAAAGAGAGTAAATGAAAATGAGGAAAAATCTGTCATTTGACTTGGGTGTCAAATATTTCAGAGGAAATATTTTCTCTGTAGGAAATATACAATCTTACAGTCCCCATATGTCTCAAGTGTGTGGAATAACAACTGAATAAGTGTGCAGATTATAAAATTTAATGCATAAAAATAACTTAATGAAACAAACTTGAAATTAAGAACTCTGCAAATAAATACACTTAAAAGGCTATTCAATCAGAAGAAGAAACAGAGAGGTTTCATGGTGCACGTAGAATCTCTGCTCTTTACAGATTTACTGATTCTGGGGCCACAATCAATGCTCCCACTTCAAGCTGTGCTTCATGCTTGACCGCACTGTTGAGCGCATTCTGACGCTTGTTGTCTTATGATGACACTTAATACATCATCTCTTCAAGACAGACCTGACACAATGGAACAAACATGATGTGACAATTGAGTCAGATCAATCCAGCTCTTCCACACCACCGAAGACAAAATGGTAGTGGATGTGTGTGCAACTGTGTTTGTGACAGCTTGAAAACTGAGTGGACAGAGTGAAAAACTTTTGGAAAAACCTTTGAAAAGTTTGCATCTGAAAGATACGCTTTACTTGACTGATGGCTGGACTTCACTGCAAGGCCACAAGTGGCTCAGTAATTCTGCGAGCCATGACCTGTTGGTCTCACATCTGTGCCCCCATCCTATAAAGCAATCTAAATTCCTGCTTCCCAGGTAATGCATTGACCTTTCCTGTCCTCACATATGGCTTTTCTCCCTTGCTTTCCCTCTTGCTACAAGACTATACAAGGAAGCAACAAGAAAACATCACAAGTGATGATGTCTGGTGCAGAGGAATGTTGTCAGGGCTGTTTGTTGTCCGTCCAGCAGCTGAACCCTTTGCCCTGTCATGTAAGTCATTGGGTGAAGGAAAAAAATAAATGTGACATTACTCATTAAGCAATGCCACACAGTTAAAGTTCACTTCACATCAATCAACATTCGTTGCACATGCAGGATTGTTCAACAACATAAAGTTTGTTGAATTGTTTTCTGACAGTGTAAATTATGTTTTAACATTTATCAGAAGGTCCAAACATCTTTGTAGAACACATGAGAGCAAAGGAGAAAACTGTGCAGACATAATTTCTCAATTATGTGTTGATGTATAAAACAGGTTTATTTTTTGATGTGTATGTAGACACTGTTAAAATTAATTGGCTCAACCATCAGTACTTCAGTTACTGTAGCTTGTTTTTCCCTGCTGCCTGGAGGAGTGTCAGTGTTTCTGCTTTTAAGTGTGCAAATGTAATAAAGGTTTCCAAGGGCACACAATTCATAATCAAACCGTCACCATTGGCCTTCCCACTGAAGACACCATGTCGCCTCTGCCCCCATCCTGGCTGCATTTTCTTTATATAAAAATAATATTGAAGTCCTTTTCACTGTTATTCATAAACCTTGATTCCAATTCTACCCCAAATCAATGCAACCTGCAGAAATTAGAACAAACTGACCTGAGAGTGCATGTAATTTTCATTGATGTTAGAGATTTACCACCATCTCAGCCATTTCTTCTTCTCAACATGTAGAGCACACATTTTTTAATTAAAATGTTAAGTTTAGAGTTTCAGACAGTTTTGTGAAACTCTATGAAAGGGAATTAATGTAAAGTGATCTGAGATGGAACTCAGCAGGGGGCTCACCTGCATCTCCTTCTCTCCATACTTTGAAGGGTTCTTACTGCCTTGACTCTTCCTTCGAAGCTTCTTCAGTTCACCCTGGCATTTTTCCAGACTCTCCCCTTTGCTCTTGTGTTCCAGCTGGTATTTTTTCAAGGCAGCCTAAGTAGAGCAACAGGAAATAAAAATAACATGAAATCACACTTCTTCCAAAGTCAAATCTTTTTAAAAGTTATAATCAAAGGGACATACGGGATAAGTTGATATGTTTTAGAGTGAAGTTTTCAGGTAAACATATTAATAAATACACATTAAACCTGTCAGTATGTCGTGACAGTAAAACACGATGGATAATCTGTGAAAAAAACCACGAAGAATTTCTGCTCCCTGTGCAATGCCGCTCAGAAAAAAAAATCACTTCCAGCACAATCTGGGCTCTCTTCCCTTAACTTATATTGTTTCTGATTGATTTCTGATGAGGTGTCAATCAGCAAACAGAAGGAGAACTTGGGACCAATTACATTAATTTTCGGTGTAAGTTTAATTTCGGTGTAGTTTTAGCAAAGGCAGAAGTAAATGAAGCTGTTAGCAAATGAGTAAAATTTAAATCGCAACACAGTCCAAGTCTCCCGGAAGCAATTGTTTCCAGACCCTCTTGGCTGGTATGGAGCAAAGTGCATCTCAAGTGGCTGGTTTTTAACCAGGCTATGTCCTTTCGTAAAGTATAAAATTTCAAGCACAGAATGTATAGTACGTATATGAGATTAGATTGGAAGGTGGTTCTACGAGATACTGATTATGGAACAGAAAGATGTGCATAAAAGTTTCATTTGAAAAAAGAAAATATTTTCTGTCATACACAATTGGGTTTCTTTTTATTAAGAACCAAGAGTAAGTGAGAAGATTTCTCTGGTTATTTTCTCACAAAAATTGTAATATCTGGTGTGACAACCATACCACCTATCCCCTTGTAGGGGGCAATGTCCACAATATAAGCATTCAGTCTCATGAAAAACCCACAAAGCTCTCCTACTGTTTGTGATGCTCTCTATTGTATATATAGAGGCATCCGTTTGTGGTGACCTTCACTCTCCTTTTCAACTGACTGTTAGTCACCGTCAACCGCTCCACTCATGATGTCACCACTCAAGCACCCTGGTGCTTGCTGGACAGGCCAGCTCCTTGAAAACAAACTATTCACTTAGTCCTCATTGGTCTAGACGTCCACCAAACTCAAGCTGAATTATGTACTTCTTGTTGATGACTTTTTATTTACTAATTAAAAGAAAATAAGAAAAACACTTTTCCTCCTATTTTAAACTGACATTTCAGCCCAACATAGAGGTATAGGTTGCTTACTTTTAACAGGAATCAAAATATTTAGTGGGAAATTTCCAAAGACAGATGGTATTCCCTTTGAGGTCTGGTGTCTCCGCCCTTCTGAATCAAAGCATTTAAATATTAAACACTATTGTTCTGGCTGACAAGCACGGATCATCATAATGTGGCAAAGAGAGTGCACATTGGGATACTCTCATCTCTTGTTACATTCAAAAAGGCTAAGATATTGCTTTCATGATTCAAGAAAGTGCTGAGAACATTTGGTTCCTAAACTCCAAATCCTCTTAATCTCTTGTGGGTTTTGTTTTGAAATCAACAACGCCTGTGATCAAATCTCTGTGAGCATGATTTTCATCGAATATGAACAATCAGATGTCAGTGACGGCCTGGAACAAACAATGACAGGATTGTCAAAAAAGCCCTAATGAGCTCCTGATTTGTTTAATTTCAATCATGTGGTTTGCTGGACTGTTGATTTAGCAATAAAAATAATAATAAAAAAGAAAAAAAAACAACAACTTTGTTTCCGTGGCTTTATCAGCTCTGTTGCTATAGTAACAACATGTGATGTGGGAAAGCTCGTGTGGTCTCTCAGTTTGAAAAATTGGAAGAGAAAAGCTTATGAACAGGGGTCCAACACCCGCTTTTGCATACTGCATGGAAATGAGCACATATGCAGGTATTCTCGAGAAAAAGAAGCAGAGAAAGAGCCTCTCTTGTCGCACACCTGCAGAAAGACATGAAGTGTTTGCTCTTCTTTGCAGAGAATTTTTAAATAATCACAAATTTGTTCAATACATCGCAACAGAATGGGCCAAATGAGGCCTTTGGACCTTTATCAGCTTTCTAAAGCAATAACAATAAAATGAATGAGTCATCTGCTCATTTTCTCCTGTTGTTTGAGGTAAAGTGATACAGCCAACACAGGCTGCCTCACTGCTGACATTCAGGATTCATCTCCCAGGAACTAAGACTTGTGCTGGAAAAAAAAAAACTAAAAATCTTAGCTGAAAAGAGTAGGATTAAATACCTATTGTGAAAAACATTTCTATCAGCTGGGTCTTATTGAATAAAAAGTCAAACATGCCTTTTCTTTATTCTCTCCATTGTTCCCTGTACTGAAACAGCAAACCCCAGGCAAGTTTGGTACAGGTACAAAATATAACAGTCATTGGTAAAACAACCTCTGTTTAGAAACAGGGGGTTCTGCTGTTGGTTCATGGCCACATAGTGATCCCTCTGTTCGGTTTCACATGATCTAAAATCTTCTTACAGCCATGTGAAACAAAGAACGCAGACAATGAATTTTATTAGGACTTTATGTGACAAACCAATGCAAAGTAGCCCATAATTGTGAATTGAAAATCGTACTTTATTTTGTTCTATTTTAAGGGAGTGTTTCTGCATTTGTTAAAATGGCATGTCAGTTTTGATTGCTACAATTGGAGTTTTTATAGATCTCAACTAAATCAATTACCATGACAAAATTACTGTCTTTAGTAGTCCTAGTGTTAAATCACCTAATGAGCAAACAGTGGAAATACGATGTTGGGATAACACCAGCTGTTCTGTGATGAGCTCACTTGCTTGTTAGAGAACATTAGTGAACAAATGGAACCACAAAGAACACAACAGGCAGGACAGGGATACATTTGTGCAGATTAAATTATCTGTTTAAATTATTATTAGGTCCCAAAAAAATAAACTAAGCTTTAAACATCTCGTGCAACAATGTCCAACACATCATACAAAAATGGAAACAATATAGAAACTGGTTCTGCAAGCTATTAACTCAAGGCAGATGAAAGCAAGTGTGCATCAAGTTCTTCTTTTTATTAAAAAAAATAAAAACATCTGTCAGTGCCTCCAACTTGACAAATATGCACTAGTTTATCTTTGGCCTTTCACGTAATATCCTAAAAAATATATCACAGGTTGTGGTGGTAACATGAAAAATGTGAAAAAAAGTGTTCACTGTTATGAATACTTTTTCCAATGCTCTCAAAGTATTTATTTGCATAAAATAAATTAAAGAAATTCATTCAAATAAGCAAAACCCATCTGGTGTGTCAGTGGTTGCAATGGGTTTACCCTAGGATGAGAAGCAATATGATTATTTAATTTTTGTCTGTTGAATACAAATGAAATTTTAAAATGGCATTCAAATTGCATAAGCAAGGAGCTGTGAGCTAATGCAGCTCATGACAGGATTCTTCCAACAATACATCACAAAAATGAAAACGTTATCCCATCCCCCAAAACGACGCACAGCGGTATTGCTGTACACTTCGGCTGCTACCCACTCATTCTAAAGATATCACAAGTAGACCCACTCCGCAGCACTTACACACACTCTATGAGGGGCTTATTATAATCAGTGTACCCCCAATAGCTTAGTAGACATGAAATACTGCAGAAGTAGACTTAAAGCCCAAACTTAAGATAAACAGTGTTGCCTGCAAATCTATTATTACTTCATTGGAATAAGGCATTGTCTGCACCATCGTTACAACATTGCACGGCTTTCTAAAAATAAAACTACTGCAGTGTACATTTTAGCGCTAATCTGATTTAGGAAACCAAGCGACAAATTCTGATACTCACAGTCAAGTACCGAGCATCTAGATCCACCTTCTTCTCAAGTTCAGAAAGCAGCTCATTATGGAAGCATTTAAGCTGAGGAAGAAAACAACAAATGATTAAATAAACAGTTAATGCTTAGAAAATCCTTGATACGAACTGTGGTTTATATGTTTTTAAACTGAATAGGCAGCAGTGATTGTTACTGAAGTGTAGACAGAAATCTTTGAGTACACAAAATATTTTTCTCTTTCATGTGTGGAGCTTGGATCAGCCAGTTGGCATGCTAAAACAGAATAGCATACAAGCAGTAAATTTAACAAATTTTCTGTTTTTGTTCAACCTGAAATAATATAAAAGTAACATGTTAAAATTACTTACATAAAACGTGTGTAAAAATATTTTTGCAATTATTTCACAATTTCAAAATCTTTTTTCCAAGTGTATGGATGAATTTTTGTCCTCCTGACCACCCTTCCAAGAACATTCATTTTTATAGATGCACTGGAAGTTAAATTAATAAATCGATCTCAATCTTTGTTTCTATGCTGTGATATCATTTCTGATAGATGATGTATGGTGGACAGTCCTGCTAAAGGTGTTTGAAGTGATAGAAAGGCTGCAGCATTAATTGGAACAGAATATCCATCCCACATTAAATATTTGTCATTTTTTAATATCAGTTTGAGTTGAGAGTTATTTACCAAAGAGCTCAGGTATTGATTTATGTTTTGAATAACATGCATAAACTTAATTGCATGTCCTTGTTCTTCTGTTTATATATTTATTCTTAAAGCATTCCAATAAATGAAGTCATTGTTAAAACACACAGTTGCTTGAAATACCAACCATTTCCTCTAGCTGCACTTGGATCTGTCTGTGGACCTCAGCCATCTGGAACAGAACGTCCCCTTCAGACAAAGAAACAGAGACATAGAAAAAATGCATAAATACCTTTTAATATGAACAGAAAAAGGAATGAGGAAGAAACTAGGAGAAAATATATATATATTTAAAAGAAACCAAGAAAAAACAGAAACCCCAGCGTGCAAAGTACGTGCACAAACACAAGCTACAAACATACACAACAAGAGACTAAACTGGGGCAATGAGCAGCACAATGGAGGCTTGTTACAAGATGAAAGAGACTGAAACAACTTCATGTACAACTGAATCAACTTTTTTTTAAAAAGGAAACAAGCTGGATATTAAAGTTTGTGTTTTTCTAAAGACATCAAGATGTCTTTTAGATTGTTAAGATTAAAAAAAATGTTGTAGCCTGTGAAATTAATCAACTGAAATGCTAAATAATGAAGGGTTCATGCAGCTAGAGTTATCGTTTTGTATACCTACAGTCTCCCTCTTCTGAAATTGCAGAGCATTGTCAAGAAAAACAAGAAGCACATTGAGCAAAGGACACATACAAAACAGAGACCTGGTGGATAGACAGCAATAAATTCAAATGTACAGACAAAAGATGAGGCTGACATATTCCTGAGAAGAACACCCAACACCTCTTTGACATCGTCTGAAATTTTAAAGTGTGTATAAAGCTCTTAAGATGAAGATAAAACACTCAGATTGATGTAGCCTTATATAAATGAGCAGCATGTCAAACTTTTTTAGTCTTAAAAGTCATCACTTTATCATATCTATGCAATTTCATACCATCATTTTACCTTCAGCCATTCTATTTAGGGGGTTACATTAAAAATGTCCCTGCCAAAGTAAAAATATATGTCACTTTATGTCAGTATCCATTCTGAAAAAGGATCATTATAGACCTTAGCAGAAACTGCAAGCTTACGCTTTATGTCAAAACTTTTTCCTGGCTCATTTCACATTTTCCTGCTGTTTCCTCTTGTGAACGATGACCTATTACGAGCACATGTCAGCCTTTCTCACAGAGCTTTGTATGTGAAGTTAGAACTCCTGCAGAAGAGGTTTCAGTATAAACTTTAATTCTGCAACAGAAGGCTTTGGATTGGTCTCCATGTCAGCAGACAGCAAGAGGAGGAGGAGAACAGAGGACAAGGATGGAAGGACTTTAAAAATGCAGGGAAGTATGACTTTTCTTTTTACTTTCAGCAATACCAAGAAACAAAATGCAATATTTAGAAAATTACATATTTGGCATTTTGAGCTACAGTACACATGAAATTACAAAATTGTCATTGTAATATCAGTGTGTTAAATAATCATACCACAAAGGACTGTTTGGAGTAGAATAATTGTTGGCTAAAATATTCCAAGTGGTATGAAATTGCATTTTGTCTTCTCATGTAATGTTAAGTCGTTTGGACTGGATCTTGTAGCAGAAGAGGCTCATATCCAACACATGCCCAACATGCAGAAAGTCACAAAGTGATGGAAGCACTGATGACAACAGGAGGAAAGGAAAAATATAGCAGTGACCTGCAGTCAGGTGAGGCAGGTGAGTCAGAGCTTCACCTGTCATCATGGAAGAATAATATAATGATAAGATAATTTATATAGCTATTTTCATCCTGTGTTTTGTACTGAGAAGTATTTATTTTTCATTTAGCTTTACCAATTTTGATTATTTTTGTTCTCAAAATTGCTGAATTTTCGCATTTTCCCCATTTAAATGCTCAGAAGTGCAGCTGGTGAGGCAGCAGCGAGCTGAGCCTCACCAAGGATTGGTGGGATTGGCTTCCCTATGTTCTGCATCAGAGCACTAAAATAATATATATATTTACAAGTTTCATCGAGTTAACGTAATGATTCTACCATGGCAGCACAACTGTGGATGGTATGTGAAAGTCTAGTCTTTTTGCTCTTCAACGTTGTCCGCTTGCATGAAATTTCCGTAAATAAAAAATGACATGCAAAAATCTTATGATTTTGATTAAGTCAGTGCCTCACCAGCCATGAACCTGACCGCACGTAACTGAAATATAGCCAAGTATTATGACTGATATTTTTAATACTGTTGGTATTTTACAGATACACAAGTAAATTATTTGAATTTCTTTCTTAGACAGGAACCCAGTTCCTCCATTATTATTATTATTATCATCATCGTCACAGTTCTGATTACAGACAGTTTAGTTATAAATTAGTTACGGTTAACTTAGTCACTGTACCATACATATTAGAATCATATATTTTTTATGAGAAATGCAATCAGCCAGCCAAAGATCAAAGTTACCCATGTTTTCCTTGATCTACATTTATGTATCGACTAAAAAAATGTGAGAAAAATGCTTTTTCTCACTTGAAAAAAAAGAAGTTATTATTATCCGGGTACATGTTCTTTCTTGCATGGGTGCTAATTTTAAAGCTTCATTTTCTATTAGAATCACAACTAGTTAGTCAGAGGAACCTGCTGCTTAATTTCCTGTTTTATGGCTTGTAGTGTTTAGAGAGAGCATGGCAGGGAGTTGAAATCAGTCAAAATTGGATTTATGGTTGGATTTCAAAGACAAAAGGAAATCTGTATCAACCAGGAAAAGCTTGATCAAATTGCAATGTGCTATTTTTTAATGTTTTAAAATTATTCTTTGAAAATGCTCAAGTTTTCTCAAGGCCATCATGACATCATACAGCCCAGCCGCCATTAGGAAGGTGGTACACAAAGACCATCTTTATTCATTCTGATGACATGTATTACAACTAAAACATGCAATTATTTTCTGAAAACTTAAGCATCTTTATTTACTGAGCCATTACTTTACTTGATAAACTAAGAGATTTAGTAACTATCCCCAATAGTCTCATCTCCCTGTAGCCAAACACGGATAAACATTTTTGCCCATGCTGCAACCTGTCAGTTGATCTTCTGTCTCACAGAAGCACAGAAAGAGGCTAAGGCATCCAGTCATTTCCCAGCAGGCCTTCTAAGCAGCTTACACTTCCCTGATCAGAGCCCTGTGAGCTTAGAAACCCTGCCATTCTGTTGGCTTCAACTAGCTGGATCAATTAACTAATGAGCATCATCACTGGACTGCAAAACAAAAGCACGGAGATGCATATGTCATCTAAACATGCAGCAGGACAGGATATTAAAAGGAAGTCAGGAGGCTGAAGAGTGACTGCATCCGTATTTGTCTTCTCTGGTTTCATCACTACAGACTGTACAGAGCCAAAGCATAGAAAAAAGAAAAGATACAGAAAATCACACTCTGGCAATGCAAATGGTTGCCATGGCAATTTTAATAGCAGAGCACACAACAACAGGGAAATTACGCTGCGACTAACAAGTGCATTTCAGCATCTGATACTGCAATCAGTAATTTGCACTGAGGCATAATGAGAAGAATTTAAATGTGATGTGCTACTTTAATGTCTTTCCTACAAAAAGTTCTGGCAAATATGACATAACCCACGAGTCTCAGTGTAAGAGCTGTTGGTTTGAAATCTGTAAAACACGTCAGTGTATCCTCTTAGTTTGATAACCACGACGATAAACATGAGCCATTACTCTATTAATATTTCCGAGCTCACTTGAACCCTTGCCTGTTTCTATGGCTAACAGAAAACAATAGTTTCTTTGTTTGAAGGTGAGCTCAGGCTGATCTGCACCTGGAGCTATGCAACAAGCAGCCACATGCCTAGTAGCTTAAAACACTGAGTCAGGTAGGGACGCATGCCTGCAGGATTTGTGTGCATACGAGCAGACTCTACCCTGAAGTGTGACATCAGCTTGTGTACTGTGGATGTATTTATTGACTGCTTGTGTAAGAGCAGCGATGTTACACCCACACAGGTGGAGCAAAAAAAAAAAAAAAAAAAAGAAAAGGCAGTGTAACAGAATGTGGGCTATTGAGTAGAAAAAAAAAGTGGACGGTTGCAATGCTGAACAGGGAGAATCAGAGAGAAGAATGGAGGTGGATGGAGAGACACCTAATCACTAGTGAAGGTCACACCAGATTCACCAGGGGTTGTCATAGAAGCAGGATAATACTAGGGTTGTTGCCATGGGAGAAGCCATAAAATGAGGAGCAGCACTTGAAAATGTTGCTACAAAACCCCATTTAGAAAGCTCCACCCTTACTATCAGCTCTCGTTACATAATACACACCACGCTTCTGATGGAGAAGAATGGTGTGTGTACCCCCACATGCTGAGTCTGTCTTCGGCACTGCGCATGCACAGTATGCGTGGCTTAACAGGGATGTTAATACCTGCCTTCCTCGCATTCCAACTCCTAGGGGAAACAAACAAGTGGGCAAATATAATAGGGATGCAGGAAAATGTGTGAGACGAAGGTAATAGCTGAGACTCCATGTGGGCATGTGAGTGTGACTATACTTTCTGTGACATTACATCATCTAAGTGTAGTTAATTTAAATGAGAGGGGAATTGAGAGTATATTATTTCTTCTTTACATAAACACAAACAGATCCAGTTTCATAGCCTGGAAGCTAAATTCCGTTTGAACCCTTTCCTCACTCTCCTCTCATAGGAGAAAACTACTGATATTTAAATGACACACTGCTAAAATTGGAAGCTCTGCTACCACAGCTGTTGCTATTTTTTTTTTTAACTAGCAATGGTGTCAAGCATTCAGGCCACAATGAAGGTTTAACAACATCCGTGCAGATGCCAAACAGAAGTAGGCCAGAATGCAGTTACAAGTACCGTAATTCTAAGAAGATCTGAGGGAATGTGCAGCATATTAAAAACAATTTGGGATTAGAAGGTGAAAAGTCTGGCCTCTTTTAAAACTGACGTTTCTATTTTTCCAAAACCAGCGATGTATTCATAATACTATTAAAGTTGCGTAGAAATGTATATTGAAGATTTCTGTTTTTTTTAAATGCATTTCAAATGTTAAAATCTAACAATTTACATTCAAATTATTTTTAATATTGGAGATGTTATGTAAGCATTCAACATTTATCTTTCACAAAACATTTAAATGTAGAAAAAAAATAAACACATGGAT